TGATAAATGAGGCAGTAGCCGCCTCCATGGAGAAAGCTCTCTCCAAGATGATGGCCTCTAACTCTGAGAAGAGAAAACCATCAAAATCCCACCAATCCCAACACGATTCAGATTCGGAAGTCCCAGAATCTCACATGAGCCAAGAACCCCTTACTGGCAAGCGCCATTGGAAAGGGGAGAAAGGGCACCAGAACCCGACCAAGGGTAAGACCCCTGCCAAACGGCACAAACTCTCGATGGTCGCCACCCCGACCGTACAATATGTACACTCTTCGGACGAAGATGACACCCACACAAAGTCCATGGCCGTCCTGGATGAATGGCAAGCAGAGGGGTCAGACACAGAGGATGACTCATGGGGCTCGAACGCTGGACCCCAACCCAGTTTTCTATTAAACACCTTGCCGGAAGACACTCTAGACCCAGATACCACGGAGAACCCGCAAGACGACGAGGAGGCCATCTATGATCCATCAGGCCAAGAAACATACCCGAGAAACATATGGCATCCATGCTCAGGGGACTGGACACCCCCAGACCATCTTGCAAAATGTATGCATCTCTGGTTACGAAAATCCTTAGACAAGACCGGTCGCAACCGGCCACGGTCAGAATGCCCACGACCCTCGCTACCGGATCATGTAGCAGAAACACCCGAGTTCGATCAGGTGATGACCACCTTTATGTCTTGGGGTGGCCACGACCCCCGTAAAGGGGTGGAAAAAGGTTTTAGAGGGTTACAGGACAAACTACTGGACTCAGTGGGACCACTAGCCAGAATCATGTATGTAGCTGATGATGCCCTTGCCAGAGCAGACCAATTTGATGCAACCATGGTGCGTGAATGGGCTCATGATGTGCGGGAGTGGGCACAAAGATGCTTTTGCTTTGTGGGTATCACAAACGTCGCCCTCTCATCCGAGCGGCGCAAAGCAGCACTACTCTGTATTGACGGAAAATTGGTGGAATTGGGCAGCAAAGAACTAGGTCAGCTGGCACAGGGTAAATTATTTGGAGACCCGTTCCTCAAAGATTTAAACAGACACGTAAACGTGTTTACCTCATTGAATAAGGCTCAATCCTCGATGAGGAGAGTCTTCAGACAAAACCCCACCAGGGAAGGGCTGGCCGCCAACGGGGCCGTGCTGTCAGCCGTTTCTGGCCCTCAGGCCCCCGCACTTCAAGACCCCAGCCTTTCTATCCAGAAGTGGGATATTGTCAACCCTTCTCCTACACCCGGGGTGCAGACAGAGGACGAGGACCATGTACCCGAGGCAGAGCACGCTTCTCTACCGGTAAGCAATCACCTAACACATTTTTCTCTCCCACAACATACTGCAGGTCGCATTTCTCTGTTTTTTCAGGAATGGACGACCATATCCACGGACGCATGGATCCTACAAACAATACAGGGCTACATCATCGACTTTGTAGACCATCCACGTCAAAGGGACCCTCCACATCCCTTCAACTGTCCTACGGAAGACCGTGCACTCATACACAACGAGTTGCTAGAACTTTATTGGAAAGGGGCAATCGAACCCACCTCCCACCCCGGAGGCTTCTTCAGCAACATATTCTTGGTGAAGAAGAAAACGGGAGAATTTCGACCCGTCATAAACTTGAAACAACTCAACGGATACGTCACATACAGGCACTTCAAGATGGAAGGCATACATCTCCTGAGAGACTTATTACAAGACGAAGATTGGTTCACAAGGCTGGACCTAAAGGACGCATATCTATCAGTACCCATCCACCACTCCTGCCGACAATTCCTACGCTTCCTCTGGCAAGACCTTCCCTGGCAGTTCCCGTGCCTCCCCTTCAGCCTCAGTTCGGCCCCATGGTGCTTCAACAAAATTAATGAAGCCTGTGGTCGCTCATCTTCGAACACAAGGCATTCGCTGCATTATATACCTGGATGACCTCCTACTGTTCTGCTCCGACAGTTCCAGACTAATAAGGCACACACAATATACCACGGATCTCCTATCATCCCTGGGCTTCATCGTGAACTTCCAAAAATCAGCCACCCATCCATCTCAAACAGTTCAATTTTTAGGATTCGAGATAGACTCCACCACCAGCACGTTACGACTACCAGTGTCAAAGATCTCGGCCATCCGCAAAGAACTGCGCAGGGCCATTCGGTCCCATACCATTCCACTCCGCACCCTTGCTCGACTGGTGGGACTCCTCTCGGCTTCCATACAAGCCATCTTTCCTGGGCCACTCCACTACAGGGCAATGCAACGACTCAAGGCATCCTGCCTCAGACAAAATCCCTCCTACGACCAACCGGTCCCCATTACAGAAGAAGTGAAAGACGAACTCAGATGGTGGCTAGACAGCATGGAGGCATGGAATGGTTGGGCCATTTTCGGCAACACACCCGACATAATCCTGGAATCGGACGCCAGCCTCTGGGGATGGGGCGCGACAAGCGGAGACACGTCGACAGGGGGCACCTGGACCTTCCAAGACCTCAACATGCACATAAATTGCTTAGAACTTCTGGCAGGATCCTTCGCCATTCGCAGCCTGGCAAAGGACAAGTCGGACTGCTGCATCCTTCTCAGGACGGACAACATCTCTGCAGTCCGCTATACCAACTGCCTAGGTGGAGCCCGGTCCCGTCTCCTGTCAGAAATAACAAAGGAGATTTTCGACTTCTGTCTACCCCGCAACATCTCCCTCAAAGCGGAACACCTCCCAGGGGAGACGAACCTCATGGCAGACTGGTTCTCACGCCACTGGCGAGACACAAGCGATTGGAGGCTAGATCCTCAGGTCTTCAATCGCTTAACAGAAATCTGTGGCCCACTCCACCTGGATCTGTTTGCATCACGCAACAACAGGCAAACACGAGTGTATTTCAGCTGGATCCCAGACCCAGACCCAGAGAGCGAAGCGGTAGATGCATTCCTACAACCGTGGCCGAACACGGGAGCTTACGCCTTTCCCCCCTTCGCCATGATAGCAAGGACCATACACTACCTGAAAAGTCAACAGGTCTCGATACTACTCATCACCCCCTTATGGAAGGGACAACCATGGTTCCCGGATCTCCTGGCATTGTCATACAGGGACCCTCTCCTACTGCCTCACCATCCATACCTCCTCACGGATCCGAAAGGCAACTCTCACCCACTGATTATGGACAATCGACTCAACCTGGTGGCCTGGACTCTTTCCGGGGCGCCTGGCAAGTCGGCGAACTATCGCAGGCTGCTAGGGACCTCCTATGGGACTCATGGGCCCCAGGAACCAGAAGCTGCTATTCCTGCCATCTTGAATTTTCTATCTGACCTCTTCACCACAGGTCGTTCATACAGATCTCTTAACGTAGTCCGCTCCGCTATCTCAGCGGCCCACGTACCGGTACTGGGGATCCCGGTGGGGAAAGATCCACTGGTATGTCGACTCCTAAAGGGCATCAGGCTGCAACGTCCCCCAGGCCCCAAATACTCGCGACTCTGGGACGTGGACATGGTTCTCCATTTTCTGAGAGACTGGCCGACGAACGACAGATTATCCCTTAGACAACTTTCAGCAAAACTTACGGTTCTGCTCTGCCTAGTTTCTTTCCGCAGAGTTTCGGACGTTCGGGCATTCGACATAGACGCCTTTTCAGTATCTCCGGAGGGAGTCACGTTCCAGATATCTCGTCACACGAAATCGGACTCTATGTTGGTTTTTGTGGCGAAACCAACCTCGCCACTGTGAACTGGAGAAGCCTGGTTGCTCGCCTGCTCCCTTTGGACTATGGCCCTGCAGGTTAAACCGTTTATTTCCCCTGCAGAAAGGCTTATTTGTGTGATCTGAGTGCCATTCATCTAATAATGTGCACTCAGATCCCAGCTATCTGGGGATATGTGAAATGTCTGTGTGTTATGTGTAAATGTGACTTTATGTATTTTAAAGTGTTTTGTGTCTTTTTGCAACCATGTGCTTAATGGAGTCTTGTGTCTGTCCTGGGAGATAATTGAATTACTTATCTCCAGGATAGAAGACTCTGAAACTGGTTTGGGCCAGAAAGCCATGCTTCATTTAGTCACAAAGGACTTTTTACTAACTTTTGAACCCCTTGTCTGATTTGTGCCATTTTGAATATGTTGTTCCCCTGAATGGATTGATTGTGAATATGTAATTTTATGTGAATGTGATGTATGGTTTTGGAGTTATGAAAGTTGGGTATAAAGTATGTTTTAACTGTATGTATAATTGAGTTTCCTCTCAGGATAAGGGGAGGGAATATGTGGGATGTAACTGTGATTGGTTGTTTTGTAACGCCCTGTGGGCTGTACTATGTTTTGTGGATTGTAATAAAAACCAGGCTGGGTGTGCCAGCACTGGAGTTCCTGTTTAACCCTCAAAGTGAAGTGTCGTCTCATTATTGGGGGAAGGATTTATTGTATGCTGTTCCAGTTTGACTGCTAGGAGAGTAAACCTATTCGTATGGTTCCTATTCAACTGTCTACAGCATTCTTATGCTTGAGAGAAGGTATACGCTTCTCTGGTTTGGTGATTGTGGTGTCTGCTGCAGTGCTTGGAGTCCTCAGGAAGCGCTAGGAGCATCTTTCAACGGAGGTACCCAGTCGGGGTGCCAGGCGATCCGTTACATTGGTGGCAAGCGGTGGGATGGCGTCCTAGTGCGAGGTAAAGCAGCTCAGAGACACAGTTCGTGGAGTTACAAATTGAGGGCAACGCTAGCACACGTGCAGCGCCCCTGGGAGCAGAGGTATCCAGCGACTTGGAGCAGATAAGTATGGAAGGCTCTGGCGATGATTGGATGGCCGAGGTGAGGCAGCGAGTGGCCCAGTATGGGGATGATTTACCCATGGAGGTACGCCGGGTGATCTGGAACCAGGTCACGGCCGAGCGAAACACAAGGCTGGCCCGAGAATTCCGGCTGGCGAAAGAGAGAGAGTATGCTCAGCGGAAGGAGTGTTACAGCAGCCGAGTAGAGGCTGCATCCGAGGAGGCTAGCCGTCTCCCCCTGAGGCGGCCGCAGGAACCCGAAGTAGGGGTCCTCATAGACTGGTCCTGTGAGGAACCACAACAGGCAGGTGGAGATGGGACCGGCCCAGATCCCCAGCAGCAGCCGGAGTTGCCAGGTGCAGAAGCAGGTGGTCCTTACTCGCAAATGTTGAGGGACCTCACAGACTGGTCCTGGGAAGACCCACAGATGGCAGGTGGAGATGGGACGGCGGTCTCTCTACCGGCCCTACAGGGATGCTGGGCGGTCGGCCCAGATCTCCAGCGGCAGTATGTATCCCAGGGAGCTGAAGGTGCAGTCCTTCCTCCCCAGCGGCAGTGTGTACCCCAGGGAGCTGAAGGTGCAGTCCTTCCTCCCCAGCGGCAGTGTGTACCCCAGGGAGCTGAAGGTGCAATCCTTCCTCCCCAGCGGCAGTGTGCATCCCAGGGAGCTGAAGGTGCAATCCTTCCTCCCCAGCGGCAGTGTGTAACCCAGGGAGCTGAAGGTGCCGTCCTTCCTCCCCAGCGGCAGTGTTTACCCCAGGGAGCTGAAGGTGCAGTCCTTCCTCCCCAGCGGCAGTGTGCATCCCAGGGAGCTGAAGGTGCCGTCCTTCCTCCCCAGCAGCAGTGTATATCCCAGGGAGCTGAAGGTGCAGTCCTTCCTCCCCAGCAGCAGTGTGTACCCCAGGGAGCTGAAGGTGCCGTCCTTCCTCCCCAGCGGCAGAGTGTCCTGCAGGGAGCAGAGACCCTCAGTCTCACACCCCAACCACAGGACAAAATAATGAAAGCGGAGACAGCTGGTCCCCCTCTTCACCAGCAGAGAGAGTGTCAGGGAGAGGAGCCTGATACCCCCTCTCCCCAGCGGCAGTTTACAGTTCAGAGAGAGGAGCTTGTTACACCCTCTCTCCAGCGGCAGCCTAACCCAGCAAGGGGAGATGTTACACCCCCCAACAGTGCAGATGGGACTGTAGTCTCTGCACTTACAGCACAAGGGGTAGGGACAGTTGGTCCTGTTCCCCAGCCACAGAGCGGTGTATCCAGAGGGGAGACAGTCGGTCTCTCCCTCCCACAACCAGGCTCCCACCAGGCTACTTCCGTGGTAGCACTGGCATCAGGGCAGAGTATCGCTGGTCTCTGCCCACTCAGCAACTCACCAAGGCAGCCTAACAGTTGCCCACACAGTCGTGGTGAGGCACCTGGACATGGACAAAGTTCTCCTCTACCCAGGTGTAGTAACCAGTTATTGTGGGTGGGCTATACTGCTGTTTCTGTTTTGTGGGTGGGTTGCTGGACTAACCAGGGCACTGACCGGCAGGAGGTCAGATACCCTGTTAGTCTAGTTGGTAAAGGGGAGAAGTGTGGCGAAACCAACCTCGCCACTGTGAACTGGAGAAGCCTGGTTGCTCGCCTGCTCCCTTTGGACTATGGCCCTGCAGGTTAAACTGTTTATTTCCCCTGCAGAAAGGCTTATTTGTGTGATCTGAGTGCCATTCATCTAATAATGTGCACTCAGATCCCAGCTATCTGGGGATATGTGAAATGTCTGTGTGTTATGTGTAAATGTGACTTTATGTATTTTAAAGTGTTTTGTGTCTTTTGCAACCATGTGCTTAATGGAGTCTTGTGTCTGTCCTGGGAGATAATTGAATTACTTATCTCCAGGATAGAAGACTCTGAAACTGGTTTGGGCCAGAAAGCCATGCTTCATTTAGTCACAAAGGACTTTTTACTAACTTTTGAACCCCTTGTCTGATTTGTGCCATTTTTGAATATGTTGTTCCCCTGAATGGATTGATTGTGAATATGTAATTTTATGTGAATGTGATGTATGGTTTTGGAGTTATGAAAGTTGGGTAGAAAGTATGTTTTAACTGTATGTATAATTGAGTTTCCTCTCAGGATAAGGGAGGGAATATGTGGGATGTAACTGTGATGTGATTGGTTGTTTTGTAACGCCCTGTGGGCTGTACTATGTTTTGTGGATTGTAATAAAAACCAGGCTGGGTGTGCCAGCACTTGAGTTCCTGTTTTAACCCTCAAAGTGAAGTGTCGTCTCATTATTGGGGGAAGGATTTATTGTATGCTGTTCCAGTTTGATTGCTAGGAGAGTAAACCTATTCGTATGGTTCCTATTCAACTGTCTACAGCATTCTTATGCTTAAGAGAAGGTATACGCTTCTCTGGTTCGGTGATTGTGGTGTCTGCTGCAGTGCTTGGAGTCCTCAGGAAGCGCTAGGAGCATCTTTCAACGGAGGTACCCAGTCGGGGTGCCAGGCGATCCGTTACAGTTTTCTACCCCTTCTTTGCCTCGGATCCACAACTCTGCGTTGTCTCCACTTTACAACGGTACGTGGAGGTTACTTTACCAATTCGGACCCCATCCTCGGGCCAACTCCTTGTTTCATACGTTAGACCACACGTCCCCATCTCAACGACCACCATCGCCAGATGGGTACGCTGGATACTGTCTCTGGCAGGTGTCGACGCTTTCTTCGGTGCCCACTCAGTACGCGGGCGCATCCCTATCAGACACCCTACGTTCAGCAGACTGGTCAAGAGAATCCACGTTCCGCACTTTCTACTTCCGCCCGAACTCCGGTGCGGCTATGTCACTCATACAACAGCGTTAAAAATGCAAAATAGGAAGCCTCCTGTCATGTGATAAAATTGAAGATTATGCTAGCGTTAGTGTACTTATAACCTTAATTTTAATAATGACAGGAGGCGAGTATTTTCCCACCCTTTCCCACCTGGGGAAGAGGGGAATCTCCCTATCACTATACTTTTCTCGTTTTCTTGTTTTTAGCACTATTCACGTTTTTCTTGTTTATAGCACTATTCTAGACAATGTATCTATTTACCACTTCACTTAACTACAGTTAAACAAATGTTTCATGATGTATCCAACCAGTATAAAAATGTCGTATTATTAGGCAAAGGGTCGCTACCATTGCTACAACCAGTTTGGAGACCAAAGTCTAACCCATTTCACATTCTCTTTCAGTGTAACCTCGCAAGAGCATGGAATAACTGCAGGAAACTAATCGGATTACTGCTCAATCCATGAAGACCACCTTCCCCGTTGGACTTTTTTTCCTACCGTTGATATTGGTTAACGATCACCCTCAGGATCATTGTTATTTTGGAACCTTCCTCTATTGTTACTGGTTACAGGCTTTTATATTGAACTTCTTCCCTGTTTACGATGTCGCTTCCGAAAGAGGGGGAGGAGCCTATTTACTGGGAATGTCATACTCCCTATTGCATTTTTGATTGGTTAAAGGTTATCTTTCTTTACTGCTGTGGAGTTTAGTAAAGAGAGTTATGCAAAATACTCGCCTCCTGTCATTATTAAAATTAAGATTACAAATACACTAACGCTAGCATAATTTTCAATTCTATTCGATGTCATCAATTTGCTATCAGAGTGAGCCCAATGCCTTGAATGCCTTTGGCTGTTTGCAGTTTTTCAATTCTCACGTATCCTATGTCATATCATTGACTACTCTCAACACCTACCAACAGTCCAGGTTTTATCAGTATCTCCATGTGAAATAAAACAGGGAAATACATAAATCCTGGTTTGTTGGAGGGCCATGGGGACTGGTTTGTGAACCACTGGTCTAAATCATTGTTACTTCATTACTGTGTACTTATTTCTGCAATTAAATAGTACTTATGTATGCATATATTGATTGTCAGGAGGTGGTTATTAGCTAATATAGATTTTTTATTTTTTATCATTATATTATGAAGTATAGTACATATTTATATAACCTTACATTTTAAAGTTTATCCTAGAAATGAATGACTAAAAAGTGTATATATATTTTCCCATATAATGTTGCTGCTAATACAGAGGTCTAAAGAGATATTTTGATTTAGTCAGAATCTTATTTGTACAATCTCTAGAAAACCCAAATGAAAATTATTATTGCTGCTACACATTGAATCCATTTAAAATCGTAAGGAAAAAATCTGTGTCTGCATCAACAATTGTAAAATTTCATAAATGCAATTCACAACATAATTCAAATAGTATGATATTTATAATTTTTTCGTGAAGAAAATCTTTGAAGAAGTCAGAATATGAAGTACCTTTCACTACCACCTCATCATCCTCAAATTTACTATCATCACTATTAATATCAGCACATTTGTCTGCTTCACTTTTAACCCCTTAACGCCGTTACGGCGTTCTTTGCTGTTCCCATTATAATGGCCTTTAAGGCCGTTGCAGCAACATAGAACACCGTAATGGCTTTCTACCCCTGGAGGTCCGCGGTACTTACCTCTGCCGCAGTCCTCTTCGGGAGGACTGCCTGACAGCCCAGACAGCCCTCCCCCGGCAAATCAGACCCCTGGGGGCCATGTGATAGCTCTCAAAAAAATATTACACATGTTAAAATAAATTAAATGTGTATATATATATATATATATATATATATATATATATATAAAAAGAAAAAATATATATATACAAAGAAACTAGTCCTGTGCTCAAACTCCCATTACTCCTGGGCGGCAGCAATGACTATAGTACACAACAGCCAAAATACATATAGTAAAAACCAAAGAAAAACAGTTAACTCAGCTCTTTCCACATCCCTATGTATTTTTAAACAAATGGAAGTTTTTAGTTACCTCCAATGGCCATGAGAGGGAATGCCCACCTGCCACGTCAAGGCAGACCTCTTAGGTGGGTCCTAACTCTAACCATTCGTCTTGCTTCCTTGAGCTTATGGCAAAAATATCTCTAATGAGACAGAAAGGGGTATGACGTATGATGTTACATATAAATAAATGATTTATAATATAAAAACATCTTATAGATATGTAACGTCATACGTAGTGTATTTTAATATTAATATAAGTACATAGATTAGTATTAAAATACACTTAAACACCCGACATCACCCAAGGGGTTCCTGGCTATTTACCAAGCCATCAAGGGGATGCAACAAGTGCTCAATGCTGCCACTAACATTGTACCCTTTTTAACTGCGGCACCCCAGGACCACCGAGTGCGTGAAACGGACCACCGCCACAAGGCACCACGAGCTCCCACAAGACTTCGTATAGTGACACCGATACCCAGGCAGCTACATGGACTCAGAGACTGCATCCTCTGCCAGAAGCACAGCCCCGAATAGACTACGCTCATACGGCCTCATGGACTGGGGGTAATGATATTATTGACACTGCTGAAACCCGTTCCTGGTGGTCCCATGGACAGTTCAATTTA